TATATTTTTAATAGTAATTTAATGTTGAATAATAATTATTAACTATTTTATAATTAAATAATTATATCAATTAAAATTTGGTATCTATTATTAGTTATCTACTTTTTATTACTTATCTTTTACTATTCACTATTTATTATCTTTTACTCTAATTATTTTTAAATATATTTTTAATAGTAATTTAATGTTGAATAATAACTATTAACTATTTTATAATTAAATAATTATATCAATTAAAATTTGGTATCTATTATTAGTTATCTACTTTTTATTACTTATCTTTTACTATTCATTATTTATTATCTTTTACTCTTATTACTTATTACTGTTACTAAATTTCAATTGCGTTATAATCATGCCCTAAATAAAAGAAAAATAATGACATGGACAAAATATAACATGGGGTGCTAACCAATTAATTTAACAATTAATAGCCCATATTTATTTTCATTCCAATTAATTAAACATCATAAATGAAATTAATTAAAAATACTTTTAGGTTTTCGTTCCTTTTTGTGGCTCTAACACTTTCTCTCTTTGCTCCTCTTTTTCTTTCCCTTTCTTTGAGTTCTCTCTCCCTTTCATTCAGCTCACAGCAGAACTCATATTTCTGGGTTTCCCTTTGAAAAATTAAGACAAGATTTGAATATGTGAGCCAATTTTTTCAAGAAGCAGAACTGAAAAAACAAATTGGTCAAACAAGACAACTACATATTCCTTGAACCGTAACTTTCAAAGACAGGAAGAAATAAATGGTATCCATCTTCTCTTCTATCCCTTCTTCATCTCTCTATTTGTTCTAGGATTACGTATTGGGGATCAAATTCAAAGACATATGGGTTTGGTTGAGGAAGAGAGATCGCTTTTGAAAGATGGGCTTCTTTAGTTTCCTTTGATTTTCCACTCTTTGCGTTTGATTTTAATCTTCCTTTTTCAGATTTGTGGGCACCTTGGAATTTATTGATTCACTATATATTCTTTATTAGCAATTTATTCTGGGAATATATGCTGATTTTGGAGATTTTACTCTCTTTTTTTTGTATTTTTTTCATTTTAAATTGTGGATATCCAAAATTTTTTAAGCTAAATTTGATATCATTTCAATTATAACTACTAGATGGGAAATAAACCCATACTTAATATTAACACCTCTTTTATTTTATTGATTTGATAGCTCTCATTTTATGACATGATATGATCTAAAATCTAAATGGTAAAACAAAACACTTCTTTAACTTTTATCAAATGCTTT